TGAGTAAGCATGCGTTACACCTAACTTTCAATAAAGAGAAGGAAAGAATATTTTGAGCAACTATCGGCTATATGACAGAAGAGGTCACTTTCATGGAAGGAGATGTATGACAACTAAGAGTTTCATTATTTAGTAAGTTTCATGGTGTTTGAGGTTTTCTGCAAGGCAAGTATGCAGAAATAGCTAGAAGAGGGCACATAATTATTTTTTAACTGGATTTTTTTGTAAATGATCTATTCTAAATGCCTTGTTTGCTCCTTGCTACCTCAAGAATTTTTATTTGCGTCTTCCTTTGATAATGTTAATTGCGTAAGAATTCCCTGGATTAAAAAAAGAAATGGACAAACTTCAAAAGTCCTGAATAAACACCCAGAAAGTCAGATGTTGTGGAGCTATTCTGAAGAAAGGACAGGAGACATTTGATGTGGATTTAATCAGGCTGCAACTTTATTATTAGATGTCTGGGACTAACTGGCAGAGTGTACAGTACAGGTTACCCCCTGTTTATCCTGTAATTACTTGTGGGACTTTCCCCAGTTTCCCTACTTTTTCCATCTGAGTCCCTCCAGCAAATCCATTGCCAGGACCTTATTGTACCTTGGGGAGGGGTTTTTACCAGTGTCCTCTCTTTTTTCATCCAGATCCTTCCAGCAAATTCATTGCCAGGACCTTACCATTCCCTCCCCCTGTAGGAGCAGTAATGTGGGCTATCGGAAAGGAGGGGATGGCTCCCTTCAATTATAATCATGGGAGCCCCAAAACCCACACCATTCCCTTCCTGTAACCAGCACCCCCTTTTTAAGTCCTTTACCAGGCTTGATCACTAGAAGCCTTCCCTAAGGAGAATATCCACCAGATACTTCCCCACAAGGCAGCACCAGCAATTAGCTTGGATGTTTCTCCTCCCCTGCTCAGGTTCCCAGACATCTTTTGTGTAGCAGCCCAAAAGCATGTTCCCCCTAAATCTCATAGGAGAAAACACACTATCCCAAATGCACTGGTTGCCCCCTGCACTATGCAGAAGATCGTTGTTCCTGCAGCTGGGTTGCCAATGCCATGTACTACAGCTGATGGGCCATATCGGTGACCAGCATGCTGCATCCACTTATGCCAGGGCTCCATAGTGCCAGCAGCATCTGCTTGTCTTCATCAAATCACTACACTCTGTCGAACAGAAAACAAGGCAGGACATCTGATAAGCCAGTGTCCAGCCACAGGGGCATGCTTGGGAGGAAAGAATTATTAAGGCTCAAAGTTTGGCCCTGAGAACATATATCCCAGCCAGGGGTCTTGACAGCCTCCACAAGCCCCTGGGCAAGGTGTGGGGGGACGGCCCCTAGGGCAACTGCTCCTTTTGCTCCCTCCCTGTCATTGACTGGCGTGACCCCTGCCAGCCAGAAACCCGCCTTTTATTGGGAAGGAGCTGTAATAGGCTATCCCCTATGTTCAGCACGACACCCAGGCATGCTAGTGTAGTGGAAGGGTCCTTTGTTTCATCCTTTGCAAGGGATACCCACAAATGGTTTTGCCAGGCCACCGAGTTCATTGCATTGTTAACAGAGCTGCCTCGTGGGTATGAAAGATGATGTATTACTGGATATTCCCTTGGAGCACTCTTGGGGACCAGAGCCGGAAGGGAAACCCTTAGGTCCCGTATACACCACTGATTAATTTTTTTAATCCATAAACCCCTCCACCTACAAATTTGCCCCACAACTTGCCCTCCTCCTGGCCTGTGTTTTGTACCCCATGACCTGGTTCAATCCAGCCCAACGTGCAGCTGGCACTGAACTCACCCCCAATCCTGTGTTTCCTCCTTGCAATCATCCCTTAGTACTCTGGCAAGAAAGGGTCTAGTGGGTCCCAAAGCATGTCTCACACATATGCTTGAATCCACGGATGCTACGAAAACAACTATTGTTGTTAAATGCCCAGCAAATATTACTACATGACTCGTGTCCCTCCTAAGCTTGCAGTGCAAGGAATAGGCCACTATTCCTGTGATCTCTTGTTCCCCAAAAACGTATTGTACCTCCACCTGATTATATCTATATACTCAAACAAGGCGGGGCTTCTCCCCAGATAAGCCTGTACCATAACACCTGCTCAGACAAGGAAGGCAGCATCCCAATTTCCGCATGTTCTAGGCACCCAGGCCATCTGGGCAACTCCTTATCCTGTGAAAATAAGCAATGGACAAACTTCAAATCCCTTGAATAAGCACTCAGGAAATCAGATTTTTGTGTGTGAATCTTAGATGAATTATTCAAACATCCTGAAGTGTGGAAAGTGGACTGGAAATCTCATGGGAATATGATTTATTTTTTATTTCTGGTATTTTGTGGCTTGTATGAATAGAGACCTGCAAATCTGCAGATATCCACTTTATATCTCCAGATATCTGTGGACCATGTTTGCAGATTGTGGATTGGCTGCAGATACAAATTTTGTATCCAGACAGGGTGCTAGCCATGAGACTGATTTTTTTGGATTTCCATCTCTCATCATAGCTACACCAGGAAGAACAGAGAGGTGTGTGTGAAAATGAACTATAATTTGTTGTTTAAAAAAGTGATGTGAACTTTAAAAGCTTAAAAAAATGTTCAGTTTCAGCTGCCCCTTGTGTTATCCAAGTAAATTCGCTCATTCCTACAATTTTGGGACAAAGCCATTAAAAATGGCTCTTTTGCTGATTTATTTTTAAACAAGAGCTTTTCATAGACATATGAAAGCTGTCTATGAAATGATTAAAAATTGTATTAAAGGACCAATAGTTTGCTTGTGGCTATGTGGGTTTTGTATAGTCCTAATCTTTAAATCATTTAAAAATGCAAACCTTACAGGAAGAATGGGGATTTAGTTACCTATGTTGGCATAGATAGTCGTTTATAGTTTAGAAAAAGAAGTTGAGAAACCTAAACAAAGATAGCATTGTTGTTTTAAACATTGAGATTCAGAGAATCACCTGACACTAATTTGCATACAGTATTTCAGTGGTCTGTAACATGACCCTCACAGAGGTTGCTGTGGAAAATGAGTATAATGGTAGGGGCAGATTCCATCATCCTTCCTCACAGTGTGTGCTACCTTACTCTGTGAGTAGCCCCACTGATTTCATTGTGACCATTTGCAGAGTAAGATACTACTCAACGCAAATAGGGGTAAAAAATTTGATCAGTTGTCTATTTCTATTTTAAATCTGTGTTGGGAAACCATTCAAATGTAATGCTTCACTTATCATATGGTTAAAAACCCCTCTTTGTGCCAACAACCTGTACTAGCAGTAAGTATTAACATACTTTATGTTCAAAGCTATTGCTTGTTTAATAGATTTGAATACCCACTGGTAGATTTTATAACCATAGACCAAAGCCAGATGCACAATCTGCCTCATAAATAGATGACATTAAAAATAAAGAGTTTGATAGTGCATCACTCCATAATATATTGAGTTTACATTTATTTTCTAAAACATATGCAAAGCTAAGTTGTCTGTACTTCCCTTTTTTAAATTAGAACATCTGCTTTACTGTTACTTCATTTTATATGTTGGATTTTCTTATATTTGTTCATGTGAATTTTGCATTTTTTCCTATTTTCATACTTAATTGGCAATTTTATTCTTTTATAAGCAACTAGAAAACTATTTTCAGTGCTAAGAGTTTACTTGCAATACATTTATCACTTTGTGCTATGAATTCAGTATCTCTAAGGAGTTAGTCTCCAACTCAGAAGAACACACATTCTCACAGGATTAGAGCAAACTATGGCTGGACTTAACTATGTACCTGCTTACTATTAAATGAGATTCAAGAGAGAAGGAATGAAATATTTTAAACACATTTTATAATCTAAAGACTCCATTTTAACAGCAGATAACAGCGTAAAACTGTATACCTGAGATCAATGCTGTGTTGGAGATATCTACAACAAGAGTTACATGGAAACTAGTATTCCTGTGTATTTGGAAAGGTTATTATTTTTTGTAGTACAGAGCATGACATAATTTGCCAAAACAATTTAATTATTTTTAGAGAACACTTTTAAAGAGAATAAACTGTTTTGAAAGTGGTAGAAAAATATCACTGATATAAACATTGTAGATGAGACTAAAATAATTGGAGAGAAATTGCTTTCATTTATGGCTAACAAGCTCAAGAATTTTGCATGATCTAAGCTATATTAAAGCTTTTTATGAAGAGATTATTTTTTGTATGACGAGTGCCTTAATAGAGGTATCATAGTTTACGGTAAAATAGAACAGCAGCACAGCTCAAGTTAATTACATTTATTCAGATAAAGTAATATTCTACCATATTATTCTACAGAAATGGGGGGGGGGGAAATTACTGAAACCTTTTTGCCAACATTTATCCGTTTCAATTATTTTGACGGTATGTATTCCATGTGTGCTTTTGCTACAGTACCTTTATATCGACAGTTGGTAGCACAAGCCTTTTAAAGCACAAAGGGTAGCAGCACTCCAGCCAATCTGTGATAAAAGAGAAAAAATGAAATCACTATGGAAACTGCAGGAAGAATCTAAAAGCTTTCTTTATAAAGTAAATGTCTGATGTTTGTGACTGCGGGGGCACAAAATTCATAAATCTGTATGATGCTATCATTTCTGATTTGTTATCACAGCAAATGCCAAGTCTAAGCAGCCTGACCTTAGCTTTATTAAGAGCTTCCTTTTTAGAAATAGTTACTATTCAACAATGGAAAGGTTGCAGTGCTGCAAGTGCTGCACGGGGGAACAACTAATTTGTTTAAAATGTGTCTGTTTGTTTTTAAATCACACAGACCTCAGGGTTTATAGAGTCAGGAACACTATGAGGGTTTTAGTAATGCAGCAACTGAGGGGGCTGTATGCAATTCAGAAAACTTGTTTCATTCCCATTACATGCCTGTCTTTGATCTCAAATTGAAGGTCTCTGACACTCTTCCTCCAATCCAGAAGCAAATAAATACTAAAGAAAAGAAACCCCCTCTTCTTTCAGCCCACATAGCCTCTAAGACTGGAAAATGAAGTTGACTGCTACCGTGAACCTGTTTGGACACCAGGCAGCAAAACATACCTGTTTCAGTGGAAGGAGTTTAAGAGCACTGCAGAGATCTTTAGTGCAGTGTATCTTGGCTTACACAGGCCACGGTCTTAATTTCAAAACAGTACTAGTTGTGCTTTCTCTGTACCTGCAACTGAAGAACTAGAGGAAGAGGATGGCATCAGTAAATCTAAATCCCAAACTCATGTCACAGAAAATACCCTGAAGTCTAAGCAAGACAAGGCTCGTGGTAAGTAGATCTCTACCATTACACTTTGTGGCTGTAAACTTGAAGGATACTTGCTCAAGGCACATAACGCAGAAAAGCAAGACCTAAGTATTTTGGGAGGGAAAGGAATGGGATGGGGGAATGGGATAGTGTGTTAAGTTTATGGCAAATTCCCTGAAAATTTTTGCTCTTCCAGTATTTGTGTGTGCATGTGTGTGTACACATTTATAAACACTGCTAGTCTGCTGTTCTGAGGCAATTGTAAACTATAGTTCTTCTTGACTACATGAAAGAGGTTTGGTGTCAGTGACCACATTTCAAGCTTTCAAAACACATGGTGGGTATTTTAATTTCTGTGGATTCAGTTTAAAATATTGATACTAAATGTATAACAGGTATGATCTGAAATTATTTTACAGAAAAATTATTGATGTGGGAGAGTACAGAAAATAATCTCAAGTACATTTGGATGTTAAGGTACATTGGTGAATGCTGCTGTGGAGTATTGTATTATTAACAATAAAGATTTGTAAATTAGCAATGGGGAAACACTGACAATAACATTTCTTTCAAAAGCTGGTATATCTTTCTGTAATAAAAATAAATCCTAAAATTGGCTTCTTATGCATATAATGAAAACTAATTAAGTGTGGAGAAAATTTGACGTGGTAGAATAAAATTAAATAGCTTTTTAAAAGACTTCCCTAAACAGCACTAGCTAGGGAGAAGTCCAATAATATTTTTAGCTCTGAATTGTAATACCTTTGCTATATTAATAAATCATGTTGCATTCTGACTTTTATCAAAAGACACAGAGGAGGAGAACTGCATAAGGCACAAGGAAGCTACAAGGAAGCTCTGACTTTTTTTCTCCCCTCCATCAAGCTACTGTACACATGGCCTTTCAAGATGAGCAACTCCCACAGAATGCACTTACTGCGGTAGGTCAAAATTGGTGCAAGTGAATGACAGTAATAAATGAATAATCAAATTATAATGTGGAATGTACTACTTAAATAGACTATATCTAATATGTGAGGGGAAAGTGTGATATTATCCTTTTTATGTTTCCCACGTTTGAATTATTTTTATGAAAATTGTATTTTTTTCTTATGCTGTTTAAGGTTATTTATTTATTGACTAACTATTGAAATGAGTAAGACTAGAATTGACATGCACACAGAAAATAAATGGTTTCATTTACCCAACACATTTGTGAATACAGACTCCTTGTAGCAATTTATTTGTGATAACACTAACCTGTATATGAGTTCTAGGCACAATGCTGAACAAGAGACTTAAATTATAATTATTGTTATTATTATTCTTTTACTGTGGCTGAGAACAAGACCAAAATATAGCCTCTCTGCAAGTAAGGAATCCTAAACCTTGAGAAGAAAAGCTTTGGGTTGTTGTTGTTGTTTTTAAAGATGAGATACAGTGACACAACTCCTAAAAATGGGCTAGCTAAAAAAAAGATGACAAGTGGAATGATTTTTTTTATCAGCAGATCATGTATCAAATGTATAATTTGTTGATTTAGGAATACGAACTGATGAAATATGTCTTTGACACTACTGCGCTACATTGTCATGTGGAAGCTTTTTAACCGTCTTGATGAGTCCTAGTCTTTGACATTTACTATTATAAAAAGCCTGGTTGATAGTGCAGTACCGTAATTATGTTTCTATGAAAACAATTCAGATAAAAGATCTTCATCCCTATATTATTAAAAAAAAGTTATTAACATTGTAACATAACATAAATGTCTCTTTTGAGAGCTTATTTATCCTTTTTAAAAAATCCCTGTTTTTATAGTGTTATTTTTAAATAAAATTGAGCATATTCAATATAATTCATCATTTTTTTCTAAACTGCACATTGTGCTTGCCCAAATGCTAAGCAAAATAGGGACTGGCTCTGCTCTATTTAGATATTTTATTTTTGTAGTTGGTATTTATTTTGTAAACATTTGCTGCAATAATAAAGATCCAATATTTTAATCATATATGTGTGTTTTGCAGCAAGTAACTTTAAAAGGCAAATAAACAAGTGAAAAGAAAGAGTTCTGCTTTTTATTAGGAAATCATTATGTTAAATATCAATTATATCATTTGGGAACACTTGCCATTTACTAGGAAATGTTAAGTCGATAAGTGTTTTTGTCCCTGGTAAAGTTCACTTTTTACACATAATTTGTGTACAAACTGAGATAAAAGGTTAATTAAGGTTACATGCTCTGAGTTTTGTATGTATTTTTGCATATATAACTGTTATATATAGTTGATGCAATTTTTTATTCTGTTACATTTGGTATGAATAATTTCTTAGTACATGGCTATTTATTACAGAACCATTAAAACATAGTATCCCTGAGGGGAAATGGATACCTGATATTGGTATGTGGCTTTGTGTCTGAATGTATAACACTCTGAGTTGGCTGAAAGAGAATATGGTAACAGTGTATCCTCAGGTAAAATTCTCAGACACTAGATTATTATGGAATACATAATAGGAGTACTGTTTTCCTTACACTCTCCTTTTGGGAAATATAATTCAAATTTTTCAAATTATGTCATGTGGATATTTGAGGGTAAATAACTGACATTGTACCTAGGGAATTATAGGTGAATAGCACCTGATTTTGTTAATGGGAGTTGTGTACTTAATTCCTACTATAATATATAGAATTGACAATGTCCTCCTTAGAAAAATGTAACACTTTAAACATAATTTCTCATATTTTGGGCTTGTTAAAAAGAGATTCTTAGTGTATAGCTAAATGAACTCCATTTTTCTGTGTGACTTCACTGGCACTCGAGTTTTCTGTCTTATAGCAAAATGTATGTCATTGGGTGCTTGTGAATGACTTGTCTGGAATTAAGAATCTTTTATATCTAAGGCAGCTTTTAGGAACTTTAGTAAAACTTCCATAAGAAACTTCTCTTCCCTTTTCCGCATAGCATAAAGAATGTTCTCTCAAAAGACATGTAGAGTTCTTCCTATAACGTCACTGAGGAGAATGGGAAGGGAGCTATGCATTTGCAGGAAATTTAGACTGATCTATTTAGTTTATCTTCTTAGCATGGACCCAGCACAGTGATATCTCAGTATTGAACATTTTTCTTTTCACATCACTCCTGCATCCTTTCAGTTACAAAGTTTTTGACTTGTGTCTACGTAAGCTAAGATGCAATTGTTTAAAACCTATGCAAGAATTGTTCTGTTGAGGACGCAAGTATTGGAAGATATGACACACTTGGTTCAAAGTGAAATATTCAAAGCTAATGTTCTTGGGAAGGGTCTAATCAAATGTTGACATTGAATGTGACCACACTCAGACATTTCTCATATGATCAACAGCTGGAGTTTAGAGTGCTCTTTTTATAATACAAAGTGAGTGGTCTTCATTTTGCTCTTCCCAGAAGTAGCACTCATGCTGCGTTGAAAAGAAATTGCCATATTATGGTATATACAGTCAAGCTGTTCTTTGGAATTGTGGCTGATGTAAATCAGTGTGGGTCTACTGAAGTCAATGGCGCACAGATTTACGCCAGATGAGGACGCTAGCCCTTTATCTCTTCCATCCCCCCTCCAGTTATTTTGTTATAAACTTGCATAAGATAGAAAAGGGAATCATCCTAAAACTCTCTGAAACTTGTAATAAAATGTCTTTTTTAACTTGGGGGAAAATACTCACTTTTAACACATGTATGCAGTAATATGGTTTTTCACATACCACCACGAATACTAAAATTGTTGAAATAAATAAGGTTCTTTCAACATTGTCTTTATATACTGATATTCTGAAGAAAAAAAAAACAACCTATAATGAGACTTTCAGGAATAACCTAACCGCAGAGCATGCAAATCCACAGTCCTGTCTATGTAATGTGTATCCTGAGCTGCTGAGATTTTTTTGTCCTGCAGGGTGAGTTCCATTAAATTACATTGATTTCCTATTGAAAAGACACTCCTCCCTTCTTGCTGGACATCAATAATCTTAAAAGGCCATGTGACCCTTCTCCTTAATGGAGAAACATAATGAAATCCTCACTCAAGTAGAAAATAATGCTCTGTAGCTTTAAAAAATGACCACTGATCTTTTTTCCAAAAGAATTTCATAAAGGTCATTATTTTGTACTTCTATGTATGACACATGAGGAAAACTCTGTATTTACTTGTGCCACAGACAGTAACAACCAATATTCTATTACATTAGAAATCCATGTTTTTCAAGTGATATCTCTCATTTGCATTTTTATGAGCAGTGGTAAAATATTTCATGTTTTATTTTGGTGTGAAATATTTTATTTTTTGCTCTCTGCCTTTCTCATCCTTTAACTTGCCTTTTTAAAACCAAATCAAACAGTTCCTCCTCATGAAGTATTCACTCACTCACTCACCTGTGCACACATACAATGTTTAAAATAAAGTTGAGACTGGCTTAAACAGAGGAAAAAGGAAATCAAATTTAAAGGCTAAAATACTCATCTGTAATACATGGCAGCGATTATCCAGAACTGTTTTATTTAGCCTTAAATTATGAATGTTCCACAAAGAACAGTGCATCAGTTACTGACCTGGTATAATTTAAATTCTCTATTACTACTGAGGTATAAGATTGTTCTACTATGTCTAACATTAGGTTCAATCAGATTTCAGAATGAGAGAGTTTGAACTGAAGGTAGTATTTTTTCAAGTTTAAATGGGAATATTTCTTTGTATAAGATATGTGGCTCTTTTCTTAATCAAAATGTAGTTATTTACAATTTATTTTTCCCCACGGGGATAAAAAGAGATCTTTGTATTTCGCAAAAAGTATAGCACTAGTAAGTAAAGAGTTAAAGTGAAGGCAGGCTCACTGGTTTGTTGAGATCTGTCAGAGTCTGAGTGGCTGGCTACATATCTGTCTCAGGAACAATAGCTACCTGTATTCTGTACAGACTGCTGGGCAGGCACTAGCAATCTGGAAAAGGTCTGTCTCTGTTAGAGGTTTCTTAGTAAGAATTCTTAATGACAGTCCCACTTTTCATTGGGGAGGGAAAAAAAAATCCTGTCTTCTCTTTTGATGAAGGACAGAGCTTTGATCATTTTCGTTCAGCCTTGACTTGGCCTGAGATTTAGGTCTGAAGATTAGAAGTCAGGAGTGTCTCTCTCTCTCTCTCTCTCTCTCACACACTCACACACTCACACACACACACACACACACACTCACACACATACTAGTCTGTGCAGGCAGATTAGTGTCACAGCTGTAACTGAGGCACAGAGCAATAAACATAGCAGAACCAATCTCCATGGAGGCAAGAGGGGGCACTGGAGGTGACAACAATGAGAAGGATCTCTTCTTCTGACAAGTTTTAGGTAAGAGGGAATATTTATATATCACTCAAGTATTTTAAAACCTTCTAGATGAGTTAGAAATTGTTACGTTTAATATATGCCGCCTTATTCAAATATTTTATTTTACTGTTGTATCGAGGCTACTGCTAGCTTGTAAACCAGTAATTATAATGTTTTGTGTTACCAGAATGATTGCAGCAAATAGGCAAGGTTTCTTCTCCTGCACAGTAGCTATTACAATTGGTCTTTAATGAAGGTTTCTGCTACTGTTGAGAATTTTAAAATTCACCATGAATCTTCAGTTTAGGTAAGGTAAAATTATATTTAGCCGTAATATATACATGTATGCAATGAAATGGTGTGTTGCTGACAGTACCCATGCAATATTAAAACAGTGCTCCCTCAACCCTAATTTGTAATTATTTTTACACTGTTAACTGTACTGGGGTCAGAGAGTTTTAAAAATTAATGAGGTTCCCTGCTGAGTTCAAATAGTATTATCTAAGTGAGCTGCTGCTGCAGAAGCCTGAAATTATTCCAGCATACTTTTAATGTAGGTATAACCTTCTGACTTTAATATATTGCTTTTGGAACACTTTCCTTCAAAGAGTAGCTTATACACTCTGTGATGAAAAGGGGACAACAATCCATTTTAACAATGAGAAGTTAAGCATGAGAAAAATGCCTTTTCCTGTAATGAGAAGACCAGAAAATTTGATAGATTATGTTTAAATAACAATTGTTTTGATTATTACAGTTGTGATCATTGATATTGTACACTTGTTAAATGTTTACAAATAACTAATATTCCAAAGACTAGAAAAATAAAAAAAACCCAATGTTTCATGTAGAAATAGAAAATGAAAATATTAGTGAAGCAGGTTTAAAAGGGCAGGTAGAGTAACTTGGAATAAAGTGAAGCAACTACAGCATGAAAGCCGGTTATGATAAAGTAGAATAATGTGCCATTGTTTTCAATTAAATATTAACCACATAACTTTTCAACACTTAAAAAGGAATTTGCAATTGATCTTCAAATGGAGGGGGTGGAGGAATCTGTTTACCGTACAATTCCCATATAGAAATAACAAACTTTCAAATTGCAAGCTGGTTATATTGATTGTAATCTGCAATACGTTGTTTAAATGGAGGTAAAATGGAAGGCAGTTTGAAGCTGAATATACAGTAATCAGCACTAAAGATTAATTTTATTCAGTTTCCCATTTACAAGACCGATTCTAAGCTTCCTGTGATATATTGTTATGTAAATATGGTGCAGCAAGGGAAAGTAGCACTATGGAGATTCAATTTACTTTGAAAGTTGTTCATTATAGAAGGGATGAATGTTATTTATTTGATGTGATTCAAAGGCTAGAAATGACTTTTTCATTGTGAAGCCTATTGTGATGGGTGCAGGGTGATCTAATCTTTTTAATTTTGGCTTTCACACCAGTGGAGATGAAAAGAGATCTGAGCTCATTTGTTGGTTGCTAAGTCCTACTGGAGGCCTAAGTACCATTCGTGGTTGCTATGGCCAATCTGACCTCAATCTATGCAGTTTTAGGGACTTAAGCAATCCTTTTTTATTTAGGAGCATGTACCTTGATTTATGTCCAAAATTGAGCCTGAATGTCTTTGTCTGCAAGTGATAAATGGTGGCATACAATTCATCAGTTCTTACAAGTAAACACGGCTGTCCCACTAAAAATATGTTTTGTTCTGAGTTAATGGTATGGAACAAGCCAGTCTCCACAAACAGCTATCTTTCATTGCAGAGAGCCACTGAAACTTGGAGCAAAGTGAAGGAAATTGGCATTCATCTTCTTACATTAGCATTTCATTTGTGCTATCTGATGATGAGACTCTGTGTAGATTGACAATGAAAGGCTAACATTCCATTTCCCTATCTGACTCTATAAAGGATAGATTCTGAATGCATTTATTCTGTAGAAATAGTAAAAAATCAGAAGTGCTTTCTCTGATATTGTTTGTCTGCCACTTCGTTATCACAAAGTCTTAAAGTACATCCAGTCAAATAAACTGTGACTTAGCACAAGGAAGTTTCTAGTTTCAGTGGTAGGCAGATGCCTTAAATTCACATAGTATCAGATTTTTGTTACTATCAGAAATGTTCTTCACATGTGATACTTAATGGTGCTTGTACCTTCATGGATTACAGAATCTCTTTCAAAAGAAACTACTGTGGTTAAGTGTTTATTGAATGCAGAGTGGGTTTGAGGAGATGACTAATAATATTTTTCTTATATTAAAATTACTGGTTTCATTTGTCATTTGCAGTATGCATGCTAGGCTAATGTGATAATGATCACAGATTAACAGAGGCAAAATCATTTGCTGTGTTTATAGCATACTTCACATACAGAGTAATGTTTCATAATACTTTTCTTTCAGTAATGAGTTAGCCAATTTAGTACAAAAATTATTATCACAGATTACTACTACTAGGGGGTGAGGGGAAACAAGCCAAATCAAGTGTTGTACCTGGCAGTTGACATTGTTAAAGAAAGCAAAACATAATCAGTAATTATACATTTTAAAGCTGGTTGTAGCGTTTGTGGCCATTTCTCTCTATCTTCATGTAATAACTTAAAATAATATTTTCTGAAGAAAGTCATTTTTTTTTTAATATATTCCTCTTGTATAAGAAGTGTCAGGGGAAAAAATAACAGTTTACCTTAATGGAGGTAGACATGACTAAACCACAGCCAGTTGAGTTTGGAGCCCTGGTACACTATGGTCACTGGGGCCCTATGCCCTGCCATTTCACTTCATTTACTCAGATGTTAAACATGTTTGGGGGACTGTTGAGCATGAGACCCCAATACAATTGTCCCCCATTTTACCTCCTCTCGACAGCCCTAAGGAGGGCCCAAACAGATGCTACTTGAATAGAACTAAAATTAGTTCCCCAAACAATTTGAGATTTTCTTTTTAATAAATAGTGTCTATTGTCTTTAAAATATTGTTTTGAAAATCAAAATAGTGCATGTTGATCTTTTCATATTAGTAAGATCTGATGCATATTTATCTCAAGTTGTCAGTAACATAATAGCATAAGGGTTAGTGTTTTGATTGAACATGTTGAACTGAGCTACAAATAAGAATTTACTGCAATGGCAGAAAGTTTCTCACTAGAGTAGGCAGGTAAAATTGCCATTAGAATCAATGCTCAAAGAAATGGGATTTGCAAGGTGGAACTTTACAACACCATTGAGCTGTTTTTCAGCATTGGATTGATGATAGAATTTGGCAGGCCATTACTGCTAGTGCTCCTTGGACCAGCTCTACCCTACATGATAAATTCGATTTAAGATACACAGCTCCAGCTATGGGAATTGTGTAGCTGGAGTCGATGTACCTTAAATTGATATTTTTTGGCATCCCCACTATGAGAGATCAATGGCAGAAACTTTCCCATTGCATGTTTTTATTCCTCTCAACTCTGGAGTAGACGGGGACATCATCAGAGTTTGATTTAGTAGGTCCTTACTAGCCCTGCTAAATTGAACCATGGAAGATCGATCTATGGAGCGTTGATCTTCCTATAACTATAGATAAGGCCTACGCATAGCACTGTGTTAGACCATCTTTACAATTAATTGCTAAGAGACAGGAAACCAAAAATACCCTGTTTAATTATTTTTAAGTCTAATCATAACACTCAGATATTCATTTATTGGATGTTTATAACTGTAAAAATCAGTATTGCATGGCTCAAAACCATCTTGCTGAAATGTTTACATTCCAACAACACAAGCGCAAAGACCTTAATGACATTTTGATGACTTTCACTTAACATGTAATAAAAGCAGAATGCAATGTAAAAACATAGCTTAAATAAGTAAGCTGTAATATTCTCATCTTCAAAAAGGAATGGGACATCATCCTTTCAGGTTTACAGTTTGCCTATGGTATTTCAGTATTCATAATCTTTTTTTAAAAAAGTAAAATACAGACAGTTCCATTGTCACCCTCCCAATGGAAACAGATTGCAGCATTTTCACTATTAATTCATTCTCCTGTGGCTAGGGCTTACTTGAATTTATGAACCAGGTTATGTTTATTTGGCATATGGTTTTAATATGTGTAGAAATGTCTTGATTTTTTACTTTGGAAATATAATGTAGTGTAGATATGTTTCAAAGGTGCAGAGAGTTGCAGGAAAATTGTTTTTAAACTTTATAAAATCATCACTACTCTGTTAATATAAGTTAATTGTTATTTTCTTTGGCTAGATTAACTGGTATATTAAGGGGCAGATTTTGAAGTCCTAAAACATACTGGAACATGTTAATTTTTGGCCTGGACTCTATTATGCTGTCATAGGATATTTTGTAGGTTATTGGATGGCTCAAGAGATTGGTATTTCACATGTAAATAAATGCTTGAACTTGACACTGGTTAGTGGTAAAGATTTATTACCATTTGGTAAATGCATGGCCACAGCATCACTAGTCTGGTTCTTGTCCCCCTCTTGTTTGCTGTATATCTTTGCCCCTTCACTAGTACAGGTGCTAGGTTTAATTTGACTTCCAAGTCAGGCCCACTGCTATTGCTACTCTTCTGTTCCTCAGAACAAACCCCTACTCTTAAGGTCCTCTGTGTAAAATATCCCACAGAGGATCTGACCGGTGCTCTAAGTGTGGTAATGAGGGTCTGGAAAATACAGTACGTGAAACATGTTATCAAAGACTGCATCATTATGTATACACACAAGAGGGCAGAACTGAGGTTGCATGGGCAATGTTAATTCTGGCATTTCCTGGCATTTCCTATCATGAAAGATTGACTTCCCTTGATATTATTTTAATATCATTTTTGTTTTTTTTGTTTTTTACACACAGATGTACACACAGTGCAGCCAATTCACAGTTTCTAAGAGAATTCTAAATTTCAGTGTCATGAATTTTGTTCAAGTAAAATCTCAACTACATTGTTGTATTGTCAAGGTTGTTTGTGTTTTGTTTTCCTTTTTTTATCTCAACCCTCTCACTCTCTCA